AGAGGCAGCAGTTGATGATGATGAGGAGGAGATGTGGGGGGAGAGAAGGCCTGGAAGTGGGTAAGAAGTTCAGGGCATGTTCAGAGGCCCAGAGCGTGGGAATATGAGGGCAGGAGAGGGAAGAGCTCTGCCCCTTCTCTCAAGCCTCCAGAGCAGCCTCCACACCCAGACATCTTGTCTGCTAAATATAACTTCACCACCCACACTCCACCTGTCCCTGCAGCTCAGCACAGGCTCACGGGGAGGGAGAGGCTGCCTCCCTGCCCTGGGCTGTACAGGTAGCAGAGCCTCTGGGAGCAGTAATCCCTACAGTCACTGTTTGTGTACCTACTGTGTGCCAGGCACTGTGCCAGGCACTTCACATCCTCCAGTCCTCACAGCAGACATGGGGAGAAGAGCCCTTTTTGCAGCGAGGACACAAGAAGTGTCCTTAATAGGTGGGGCTGGAGAGAAGTGGACAAATGTCCAAAAAGGGACAAGGCCTGGATAGCTGCCCAAAGGCGGGTGTTGAAGAAGGAAATGCATCCAGCTGGCCTGGGTGGGATTCACATGCCTGAGGGACAAGGGGCAGCTGTCCAGGGGGCAGACCCTGCCCTGGACCAGGAAGAGGCGCCATATGACCTAGGACTTAAGCCTGCCCCTTGCCCAAGCAACCCCATTACCATTTCGTCGCCCTCCCTGCCTCCCAGGTTTCCCATAACTCCCTTCCTTTTGCAATCTGTCCAGCAATCTTGCCACCCTTCTCCCTGGCCTTGGCCATACCAGACTCGGCCTCCAGCCAGGTTTCTAACGCATCCTCATCGGTATCTCTCACCTGCCCACCCGCCCTTCCCTCTAAACTTCAGGGTAGCCCCTATAGAAGGGTAGGTGGTTCCCGGGGACAGCGGGGATAGCGAGGGGCGGGGGAGGACTCAGACCCTGCCTGGCGTCTGCAGAAGGCCCTGGTCCTGGATCAGGACTGCGCCGTGCTGGCGGACCAGGAAGTGAGGCTGGAAAACAGGATCACCTTCCAGTGAGTGCCCCTCCCGCGAGGCCTGGGTTCGGTGTTCAA